TTTTTTGAGATAGGGTCTCACTCTGTAGTTGAGACTAGCCTTGTACTCACTATGTCGCCCAGGCTAGTCTTAAACTCACAGCAATCCTCCTTCCTCAGCCTCCCGAGGGCTGGGATTACAGGTGTGTGCCACCATGCCCAGCTTTAAAACTTATATTTCTAGCAAGACATTTCTTCAGTCTTTCTCATTCACTTTCTTTTGCTGTACAGTAGCTATAAACTACATTTTCAGGGTAATATCAGTTTAAGACCACTGAATACATAGCTGATTATTTGTTTGTTTAAAGATTTGCATCAAAAAGCAAAAGTACAAGAAGAAAAGATTAAAGTCTTACAAAAGGAAAGGGAAGATAAGGAAGAAACCATTGGTATTCTTAGAAAGGAATTAAGCAGAACAGAACAGATGAGAAAGGAGTTGAGCATTAAGGTAAGACTTCCATTTTCATTTGCATTAGAATGGACATGTTATTTTATGGCCAAGCATAGTGACACTTGCCTGTAATCCTAGCACTCTGGGAGGCTGAGGCAGGAGGATTACAAGTTCAAATCTAACCTAGGCAATTTAACAATTTAATGGGTAGGGATATACCTTGGTGGAAAGGCCCTAGGTTCAGTCCTTAAACCACCATCACCACCAAAAAAAAAAGTTGTTTGTGAAAAGGGTGAATTTGGGTAAATTGATGTTCAGTGTTTTCATTAATTTTGTTTAAAAGATATTAGGACCTGAAAGCATTTCAGCTGTCATTTTCTGTGAGAGCTCTCTTACAATGTGAAAACCCTGTATTTCCTAAAATTATCAAATATTTATTAAATATATACTGTATGAGAGCTTTCAAGTATGCAAAGAATACAGAAATGAGTTTCTGGTACTTGGTATTGCATATATATATAAAATTTACTTGTAATATTTATAATTTAAAAATGAGGAAATGGATAAATATTTTGAATCTAAACCCAGTCTTGTTTCTTTATTAGTGTTATTGCATAAGTTGAATGACAGCTATAAATTGTGCTTGCTGGCCTTTTTAGTACCAGGAAGATGAGAACAGATTGGATTTAAAAGACTGACTTATTAAATAGCATGAGTATCAGAAAAAGTATAAAATTTAGCGCTACCACATTTATAGTTTTGGTGCATTTGCATGTGGTTGTCTTTTTAGTAATTCTCAATACTACATGTTTAGTTCAAAATGTAATTACCACTAAACTTAAATTTACCATATAATTTAATTAATTTAAATATGATACATATTTATGTGTCTTGAAATGATTGTCTTACAAATAAAGGATCTTAAAATATTTATGAAGAAAAAGCATGCTAAATTATTTTTCTTCTCAATTTTTTATCCCCTTTCCTAATTCCCTAGGCTTCTTCCTTGGAGGTTCAGAAGGCCCAATTAGAAGGTCGTTTGGAAGAAAAAGAGTCTGTGGTGAAACTTCAGCAAGAGGAGTTGAATAAACACTCTCACATGATAGCAATGATCCACAGTTTAAGTGGTGGAAAAATAAATCCAGAAACTGTGAATCTTAGTATATAAACATTATGACATTTTGAAATTTGTGATCTAGTGGCATTTTTTGTGTATTTATGTGTTTGAGAAGTATGGTTAAGGGAGGTAATCTGTGGCTCCAGAACAAGTGGAAATTATCTAATTATTAATTTAGTAAAGATCCTAATTTGATGTGTCTTTCATTTTGTCATTTGAATAGAAATTATTCTTTTAGTTTTGCTTTCTATTTTTAGCTTTTATTGCTTGAAGCGTTCTTTGGTTCTTGCATGAGAATATCCTTCCTAAGAAACCTCTATTTTTAAAGTTCTAGTCTGTTTTACTTATCTTACTTATTCTCATTTGGAATTACTATCATGGATTGCTAAACAACAAGGATACACTTTTATAAATGTATCATTAAATGAATATACTTACACAAACTAAGAGGATTTACTGGGTATGATCATCTTATGGAACCACCAAGGTAAATGTAGTCTGTAGTGACCACAGTGTCATTGCATAGAGCACATGATTATTTAGTTTTAATATTAAGCCTTCTTGATACAACAGTTTTAAAGATCAACAAATTAAAAACTTAACTATCAGTAGAGATGAGATGATATAGGACTAGAGAAGTTTATCTGTAAAGTAGCATAAAAGGAAATATCAGTGAATTTAAACAAAAGTAAGATTCTACATTTGAAAAAAAAAAGTGAATACTTTAGGAGACAGCTATCTTGTCAAAAGATTACATTGTCTCATAAAAAACTACTTGTGGTATCTTCGGCTTGTATTTCCTGTTTTGAAATGTTGCCTGTTGTCCGACCTGTATCACTTCCCATTATGAATTTCTTATGATTGTTACATAGGGGTAATTTGTATTCTGCCTTTACTAAATAGTTAGAATTGTATTTGTTGTTACTTGTAATGTGATACATATTTAATTTATAGTTTTTGATTGGGCCATTTTATTTTAAAGAATAGATTAAATATTCTTTTTTTTTTCCTACAAGGGAGTTATTCAGTGCAAAAGTACATTTGAATTGATTATTCTAAATGTACTTTAGAAAAGTTTTTATCTTAATTATTTTTATTGATTTTATTGGTATACTATTACAGCCATTATTTTATGCGCTTCTCTCTTTATTTGATTTAAGTGAATTTAGCTTCTGGTGTTTTTTTTGTTTTTACCAGGGAACCACTGAGCTAAATCCATGGCCCCTTTACTTCTGTTTTTAAACCTTAGTATATATGAATTTATGTTTAGAAATCAAAATATATTTTGCTAATTCCATTAAGAAATACAAAGCTATAATAGTTTTACATACTTACATACATTTCGTTCAGTTCTGGAATTTTTGAAAAGTCTTATACAAAGTAAAACATTTTAAATTACTACTTCTTTTGAAATTGCATTTTAAATTTAATATGAAAAGAGTCTTTAAATAGATGGCTATAATTAAAGAACAAAATGTTCTTTTTGTTTGTTTTGTTTTCGTTTTGTTTTTTTGAGTCTGGGCTGGCCTCGAACTCATGCCAATTCTCCTGCCCTACCCTCCCAAGTGAGGTAGGTGTGCACTACCACTTCCGGCTTTTTTTTTCTTTTTTGGTTTTTGAACAAAATGTTCTATACAGTAGAAAGAACAAAACATTAAATGAATGAATTAATTAAAAACTCCAGGGAAAAATCAGACTTATTTTAACATTTGGAGCAACTCTAGACATCGAAGCTAGTGTAGTCTGGCCCTGTAGAATGTTCTGTGATAATAGCAATGTTGTGTATCCAAACTGTCCTATATGATAGGCCAGTGATGGCAGATCTCATAGAGATGAGTGCCCAAACTGCAACCTAGACCCCACTTTTTTATCACAAAGTGCCAATACTGCAATTAAACCTGAATACTGAGGATTTAGTTTAGAAAAAAACTCATACATTAACATCTTTTGTCTTAAAAATAAAGAACACGTGGACCATAGATAGGTTCATCATCACTCCCATAGGCATTAGCCATATGTAACTATTGAGCATTTGATATTAATTTTAGTAGTTATCTTACTGGACAATGCAAACGTACCCCATTCTTGTAAGAATTTATTTACTTGTTTATTTGTGGTTTTTTGTTTGGGTTGGGGTTTTTTGTTGTTGTTGTTTTTCTTTTTGGTTTTCTGAGGCAAAGTCTCACTATATAGTCCAAGATGGCCTTGAATTCACAATCCAAGAGCTGGAGTTACAGGCTTTTGCCACTTACCTGACACAATCTGCATATTCTTAAAGTCCTATATAAGTGATACAGTAGTTACACATTTTCCTGTGATTTTACTCTCTACCATCTCAGTTAACATAGTCAACCAGTGCCTGGAAATAAGTGGAAAATTCCAGAAATAGTAATTCATAAATTTTAGATTGCACACTGTTCTCCATAACATTGTCCTGTTCTATCTTGGAACATGAATCATCTCTTTTATCCAGTTTGTTTGTGTTATATATGCTACCTGTTCATTAGTCAGTAATCTATTGGATCAACTCTCGGGGATCATAGTGCTTACATTCAAGTGTTCTTTATTTTGCAGTCCTTACTGATGCTCCCAAAGTAGAAGAGTAGTAATACTGGCAATTGGGTGATCCACAGAGAAGCCATAGAATGTTTCCTTTAGGTATCAGCTCCGTCTTCATAACAAGACAGGTGAGTTTGGTACTGTAAGATTTCTGAAGAGACTACATTTTAAAAACTTACTGCAATATAATGTTTTGCCATACCTCATTTATAAATTAGTCCTTATTATATATATATGAATATGTAGGAAACAGAATGGTATATGTAGGAATTGGTACTACTCTTGGTTTCAGGCAATTCCTGGATATCTTGGAAAGTATCCTTTGCAAATAAAATAGGATACTGTACCCCAAAATATTGTTAATATTTCTAATACAATCATTTTTATGTTTTACTCTAATCTTTTCTCTCTGAAAAGGAAGAACCATACTTCAGCTTTGGTGGTGGTATTTAGTTATCATCCTGTCTCTCGTTATTGTTCCATTTATTTTTCTTAATCACCTTAGTGTATTGCACAGTTTATTGGTTGTTTTTGTTTTAAGATTTCTATTTTTCGGTTCTATTTCCTCAAATTTGAAATTACGAAAATGCATTATTTTTTCATTGTAAGAAAACATTTTACTCAACTTTGAGTTACTCTTATACTAATTTACAAAGTTTTTTTTACTTTTATGTTTATAAAAATGTATGAGTTGTACATGTTTAAGTCTTACTTTTTGAAAATCTATTTTGACAAAATAAGTTCTTTACTTTCACCATTAGGGTTAATATTATACCACTTAATATGAGGTGTAGAAGCCTTACAAGTAGATAGGACCATTTCTCCTCATCTCATTACTAATGACATATATATTACATCTATACTTGACATATGTATATTACATCTATATACTTAGCTAATCCACAAAGCAACATCATAATTTTTTTCTTTAAACAGTTACATGACTCTCAAAATCATCAATATATTTTTGTATATGCATACAGTAATACAAAGTATTGTGTTCACTGTAACATTTTTGTTTGAAAGTCAGAAAAAAAAAACATGGGCAGATACTGCAAATACCTGTTTCTTTTTTCAACTTTTATCTCTTTGTTTAAGCATCATTCATAATTCTTGCCTGAATCAGTTATTACTCTGATGGTTATCAAACAGTTATTTTCCTTTAATTTTTTATGATAGAAAATTGAACATTTTGGTAATATTCTAATATACTGTGACTAGCAGTCTAAATTAAATAATTTATCATATCAGGAAAAATTAAACACCTATAGGTTTACAGTTAATATAGTGTGTAGTTTCTTGGGGAGGGTACACTCTTACAAGCTATGAATTTGAGATTTGCTTTCTACAGTTTAAGAAAATAAAAACTATCCTAACAGCGCTGAATATAAATACATAATATATATTTTTTCACATGCACACATACATACACACACACACACACACACACACACACACACACACACAGACACCACTTAAACCACTGGATCTTTTGGATGTTATTTTCCTTCCCGAACTCTTCATTCAAGAATTACTCATTCAAATCATGTGTTTCTCAGAATCATTACTTGCTTTGGCTCTTTCAAATATTACATGTGTTATTGACAATAAGAAGCCTTATATTAAGAAAATAATTGAATTTTCAGCCTTCATTGAGTTTATATTTTTAATATCTAAAATACATATTTGATTTTTTTTTTTTTAGGAGTCTGGTAAATACATTATGATATATATCTAAAATATCCCTCAAAGCCTTGAGTGTTTGGAACACAGTTGGATTATGTGAGCTTTATAGCTGACTTGCTATTAGGTAGGGTTTGGTAAGAGGTGGAGTCATTGGAAGTATAACTTGGAAAGAGATATCTTCCTTCCTTGTTCCTTCCTCAACTCTGCTGCTTGGCTCCATGATGTGAGCAGGTTTTCTTTTATGCAGTTCTACCTTGAAGCCAGCTGACTATGGACTGAAATAAGAGCCAAAATAAGACTCTTCTTTAAGTTGTGGGTGTCTGGTATTTTGTCTTAGGGAAGACAAAATGACTATGGTGTACATGGAAATATATGCCTCTGAAGTCCATAAATTAAGAGGAAACATTGTGAAATTCAAAATCACAGGTTCTTCTTGAGTGTGCATGTCACTTTGAAATCTTATTCTGTTCAGCATTTTGTGTCTAATTGACTTTCTGTCATTAAAGACAGGCCTATTTTGTTTATACTTATATTCATCTAAATGTTTCTTAAATTTAGTTGTATCATCATAAAGTAGTTGTGCCATAGTTCTCAGAACTAAGCTTCTTTGTCTGTTGAGCTATAAATATTCCTTACTAGAGGTAAGTACAGAGAAGTGTCTTTCCTCTCAACTAAATACACTTTTTTTAGCTATCATATCCCCAAGGACTAGGTATTTATATGCTCTCGATCTCTAAAAAAGTTGGATAATCTTTATATAAATTTGAAAAGAGTGACATTTCAAAGTTAACACAGTAGATTGAATTTCAGTTTCATTATGTTATTAAAAACTAATTTTCCAGTAAGTACCTGAGCATTTGCCAGCAATTCAATAGTGCTCATGAGTCTACCTCTCCATTACATGATCTACACTGTTATTTTAAGAGTTATATTTCATTTTGCTTCAGGCTTCAAATAAGAAGGCTTATGATTGGCCT